GAGAGAGAGAGAGAGAGAGAGAGAGAGAGAGAGAGAGAGCAGCATCAGACAATCACAACACGCTGCAGCAACTGTGTTAAAACAATTATTAAATAAAATTAAGGCAAGAATAGGGATCTGATTTGTGCAGACTGCAGTGAAAACCATGTCAAAATGCAGCAAAACAGAGACTGAGAAAAAGGTGAGGTCAGTGAAAGGTGATAATCAGAGTTATTTTTCCTGTTTTTTAATTTAAGGGGAACTAGACGTGGAGCGACAAGCCCCTCAGCTCAGAACACATTTTGCTCAAACTCAAAAAAAGATGACAGTCTGACTGAAACCAGGTGGTTACAGTTACCTGTGGCTGAGCTGGGCTCCTGTGGGAGAGGTGTAGCTGCGTAGGTGAAGGCAGAGAGAAACTAGCTTTGTCCGCAGGAAAATAGATTTCCTGGCTCAGGTGCTGTCAGTTACATCCAGAGGATGAGGCAAAGTGATGGTACTTTATTTCGTAACCGTTTCCACAAGATTTAACCATTTAAAAGTTCGCTCACTCATGTTTAGCTTCACAGCACAGTCACGTTAAGGAAAAAGTGCCAGGGCAGCCGCCAAATAAACAAAATAAACCAACCAATTAGACCTACTTTAGTTACAGAGTACATATGCGCCCACCCCCACAGACGCACACAGATGAATGTACAGGAAATTTTGACAAAAGTCAATTTCTTATTTTATTTTGCCCACCATTTTTGTAATAATAGTGAAAAATCATTACAAAGTCTAATGCTTATAAAAACATTTTTTTAACTCAAAGGAAAATCTCAAGGTACGCACAGTGCATACAGCTGCAGGCACCGCTGCTTGATTTATTTTCAACCTATGAGCACAATGACTTCTGCTGAGCTTAATGATGAAATTTATGCTGTATTTAACACAGCACACTTGTGATACACCCAAGTGGAGCAGCAGACAGCTATGTAAGTCCCCAGGGAGCAGTTGGGGATGACACATGGGCAGGGTGGGAAATCAAACCTGTGACTTTCTGGTCCCGCCAGCTTCCCTACCCCTTCTCAACAGGGTTATATTGACTGGATGAAATTACTGTGGGGTCATAACCCCCGCATCGCAAATTATGCCCACGGCATTTCATGGTAGAGCACTTTGTGACGACCACGTGAGATCAGATATAAAAATGGTAGTTCTCTGCACTTTTCACCCCTTGTCATTAATTATGCATTGATCAAATCGATGACGAAGGAATCTTCATCTCTGTGGAGAGAGTTGTGGACCTCATGTGCAGCTGGTGGATCTGGCAAGATGAGTTGCTCAGCATTTGTAACTTATAAACACCAAAACACTGGTAAATATGCCAGCTGTAAGTTATATTTAGTAAGTTCTAAGGCTGTCAGATATACGTTGAATGTATAAATAAACTGTAATGACCCTCAGCATGCAAAGAGCGTGAGCCAGAGCTCAGCTTTTTATTAATGTGACAGCACAAAACCAGAGAACCAGTCTTTTTCAAGTTCACACAGCTGTTTACAACCCCAATGAAGTTGGGATGTTGTGTAAAACATAAATAAAAACAGAATATGATGTTTTGCAAATCCTTTTCAATTTATATTCAATTGAATTCACTATTGTAGAAACCAGCATTGTTCAAGTATGAAAGTGTGAATAATAGAAACCGACTTGGATATCTTTAAAAATCTTTATTCTCATCTGATTCCTTTCAGCTTCACCAGTACACAGCACAGCAGTCAGGCCTCAGCGTAAGGCCTTGAGCTCGTATTAGGAAACCAAACCAAAAACAGCCCAGCTTGTTCCAGGCTGAATATAAGCAGAGACTCTCTGCTCAACTCAAAACTTCTAAAAACTCATATAATGATGAACTGATCTTATAATGTATGTCTCTTTATGGTTACACTAGTTGTTACCTTTAACGTCGGATGTTAAGGTACCCAACTTTTGCTTATGTTACAGCCAGAACGCATCAATAAGACACACACACACACACACACACACACACACACACAC